AGGCAAGGACTCAGCGTGTGTGAGCCGGCAGCTCTCCGGACACTTAGAATAAAAGCTGACCCAGGGCCCTGACCGGTTTGGCTCAGTGGACAGAGCGTCGACCTGTGAACTGAAAGGTCCCAGGTTCGATTCCGGTCAAGGGCATGTACCTTGGTTGGGGACACTTCCCCAGTAGGAGGTGTGCAGGAGGCAGCTGATCGATGTTTCTCCCTCATCGATGTTTCTAACTCTCTATCCCTCTCCCTTCCTCTCTGTAAAAATAATCAATAAAATATATATTTTTTTAAACAAAGCTCACCCAATGCCACCACATGGAGGGACATTATGCTGAGTGGATTAAGCTGGTCAACAAAAGAGAAATACTATAGGATTCCACCTACATAAAACACTGAGCAGTCAAGTGTAGGAAGACAGTGGAATGATGGCTTCCAGGGGCTGGAAGGGGGGTGGGGAATGGAATTAGTGCTTAATGGGGACAGAAGTTCAGTTTGGGAACATAAGGAAGTGGTGACGGTAGCACGACAATGTGAATGTACTTGATGCCACTACACTGTCCACTTACAGTGGTAAATTTTAGTCATGTCTATTTTACCGCAGTAAAACCAAGAACGAAAACTGACATCAGGACACACGGCTGCTAAGTAATAAATTCCTATCCGAACCTAGGACTAGGCTTTAGCCACTGAAATGGGCTGTTTCTCCTGACAAACTGCCGCCGTTGCTCTGTGGGAGGGAAGGCTGTCCTGTGTGACACCCCCTCAGTGAGGGCAGGGTGCCCGCGGGCCCCCTCGGCACCTGGCATCCTGCCCACACACCTGGGCTCTGAGGACTCGCCGAGGCTGCACACGGGGAGGAATTGCTTCTCACTCCCTCTTGCTGCAGCGCAACCTTCCTTCACCTTCCCGCTTTAAAGTCTTAATCAAGTGGCAGATGAGAGGAACTGATCCATGCAGAGGACAGAAGGTTTGACAAGACGTGTGGCAGCCGCTGCTGCTCTCCTCCCCCGCCCCCGAGCCGCCGCCCCGCCAAAGAGAAAGACCGGGGAGACAGAAAAAGAAAGAGAAAAAGGCAAGAGTGATTTTGTACCCTTAAGCCTCGACAGCCGCAGTTCAAAAGACCAATCTTTACTGAAAATAAATTTAAAGGAGAATTTTTGATGTACATTATGGTCTCTGGTGGAAGACAAGAGCGCTGCCGGCGGTATATGGAGTTATGCGAAGCCAAAGTGGGATTACTTAAAAGTGTCTGTAGTGCTTTGATTAACTGGTGTGTATTTTATTTTTATACGACACAATCACAGGCCTGTATTGATAATATCTTGCTATTATTGTTTGACACTTGAATCTCCCTTTTTCTTATGACTTGGAAGCAGGCTTTGTTCAGTCTGGGGCGAGGGGCAAAGGGTCAGGATGATCCAAAGAGGTAAGAGGGAGATGTGCCCACCACCCCAGACTTTTTCCATGCAATGCGCAAAAGCCCTCAGACCTGTCCCAGGAAGCTAAGCCACTGGAGCTCAGACGTGGGGACTCGAGGAGCTGGCCAAGGCCCTGTGCTGTAAGCAAGCCCAACCCACCTTCTGCGATGCCCTGTGTGTCTGGGAAACAGTCCCCCATGAGGGCACCCTCTGGGAATAAGGCTCCATGCCAGACACTAAGCTCCAAACCCACCTTTCTATGGTTTGCTTTGGGGTGCTGGGCTGGGACTCTGCAAATTGCATTTCTCCTTGGCCACTGGGCTCCTGTTTGGTTTTGTCAATAGGAGGAGCTAGAGCAGCCGTGGGCAAACTACGGCCCGCGGGCCGGATCCGGCCAGTTTGAAATGAATAAAACTAAAAAAAAAAAAGACCGTACCCTTTTATGTAATGATGTTTACTTTGAATTTATATTAGTTCACACAAACACTCCATCCATGCTTTTGTTCCGGCCCTCCGGTCCAGTTTAAGAACCCATTGTGGCCCTTGAGTCAAAAAGTTTGCCCACCCCTGAGCTAGAGCAAGACCTGAAAGCTGGGGGAGGGGAGAAAGGATTTGCTCCTTCCTATCCACCTGCTGTTTCTGCCTCTGTTGCCCCAGCACAGGTGCCCTTGCCCAGCGGCAGCAGTGGCTTCCGGGCACCAACTTCCTTTGGCTCTCACAGTACCAACCTCACCGCAGCCCCGAGGTCCCAGCACCAGCCAGGCAGTGTCCCCTGGGAAGGCGGAGTCCCAGCTCTGCAGAGCCCTGAGTGACTCTCACCTCCTGAGACAGGAGTGGGTGGGGCGCAGTCGGCTCAGAGCGCTGAGCGTGGCCTTGCCTTCCAGCTCCGGGGTGTCAGCAGTGCTGCCCCATTCAGGGCTGGATCCCAGCTCTTCAGGGTCCTGTCTTTGTTCATCCAGATCTAGGTGATAGCTGCTGGCCACTGTCAGTGCCCAGTGCCATGGTTAAGAATGTCAAGAAACTGATGTAAAATCACCTCAGAAGCAATGCCGGGACCCCAAAGGATATATGTTCTTGGAAACAAAGTTGTTCTGAGCAGCGAGCTCCGTTCTCCTTCATCCGGAAGCAAAGATGGCGCTGGGGAGTGGCTGGGCTGCATTCCTGAGCCTCACAGAACCCAGGAGAGTCCCATGGAGCCATGCCAGGGAGGAACTGTGAGGGTGGTGGCTGCATGGAGCCATGCCAGGGAGGAACTGTGAGGGTGGTGGCTGAGAGGACTGCAGAGTCTCACACCGCACTCGGGAGGACATGGCCTGCACCTTTAAGATGTGGCAGGGATAAATCCAGTCAGTCCTTTGCTCTTGGAGCCCTTGGGGACAAGGAAATGGCCACTGGAATGTATCTTTGTTTATAGAACGGACAGAGCAGCTGTTTTCCTTGCTGGCTTTTCCCAGCTGTCACCCCCCCTCCCTCCCCCTCCGGTGGCACTCACAGGGACACACTCAGAGATGTTTTCTTTCTAATTTCCAGAGATCTTTCAAGTGCCAGTCTGACTCCCCCACACTGGCTCCTTGCATCCCTGCTTTATACCTGCCAACCTCACCCGCTGCTCTGAGTGCCCTGCCTGAAGCCTGGGCAGAGAGTTCTCTTGCTGGCCTCACCCCCCGCATCCACTGGCGGCTGAAAGTGGAAGCAGGGTCTCCGTTATCCCTGTGCCCCTGGGTGTGTGTCTGAGGCCGGAGGGCACACTCCCGGGCTCATGGCGGTGGCCTTTCTGCCTTCCCCGCTGCCCTGGCACGGTGTGGGGCCCTCGTGGTCCTTTCATCCCCCACCCCACCCCAAGCCGGATTCTGTCTAAACTTCAGCCAAACCTGGTGCAGAGCCCTCTATTCCTGAAACACGCCTGTGAACTTCCTTTGACACTGAGCCGTGTGGCCCCGCTCACTCGGGCAGACCCTCTGAGCACAGTGGAGTCAGAAGACCGGCCTCTTACTGGCAGTGTGGTTCTGGCCAATTGATGGCTCTCTCTGAGGCCCAGCTTTCTCCCTGTCTATTTCACAAGGCTGCTGTCAGGTCAAATACTATAATATACATGAAAGCATTTTTTAAAAATATATTTTTATTGATTTCAGAGAGGAAGGAAGAGGGAGAGACAGAAACATCCATGATGAGAGAGAATCATTGATCGGCTGTCTCCTGCATGCCCCCACTGGGGATCGAGCCCACAACCGAAGCATGTACCCTTGATGGGAATTGAAGCTGGGAGCCTTCAGTCTACCACCAACGCTCTATCCACTGAGCCATGCCAGCCTGAACCATGATTGCATTTTTACACAGGAAAGCCCTGTACAAATGGGAGGTAACATCACTGCAACAGTTGCTGTCCAAGCCACTCACCATGTTATTATCTAAGTCCTCCTTCTGGTGTTTTTGACTCATCCCCTTTCGCTCTGCCTGGTTGGGCAATGCTGTAGATCTCTCCCTGGGGCTGCAGTTGCACAGAGGAGGCTGAGGTAGCCGCATGTCTTCACTCTTGATTCTCAGAATCCACAGGGCTCTGGCCCACCCAGCTCCCCTGGGGTGGCCTGGGCTTCCCCTCAGGGGCCATACTTTCAGGCCTATCCAGGCCCAACTGTGGAGCCGCTTCAGGATGGGCTGGCGGGAGCCCTACCAGTGGCTGCATGAACCATAACGGCGTGTGGTCCATCATGCAGGTCAGGGTGTCAGGGGAGGAGCCCCGGCCCGACCTCAGAGCTCCCTGAGTTATTTACTGCCTCTGGCGTCATGGGCTCATTTGGGCCTTTGCCCAGCCCTGGGCAAATGGCTTCACCCCTTCTCCCCCGGGGCTCTTCCTTTTCTACCTCACAGGAATAAATGATGGGGAGGGAGAACAAATTGAAGCACTGCTATACTGTGCCGTGTACTAAATTCTGCAGTAAAAAACTACTGTAGGTTGAAGAGAGGTCTCCCGCCTTGAAGGAGCTGTTAAGAATGGAAACGCTCACCCATGGGAACAATGCTAGACCCTACACTCCTGTCCAGCTCGTGCTAAAACAGAGCCATGCAGACGGGCCTCAAATCGGGGGACGATTAACGGAATCAGTGAATATTTCTTAGAGAGTGTCAATTTTTTTTAAAAACCTGTGTTTTGCAGAAAATAAGAAAAATGATAAGTGAAATGAAGAAGAAAAAATTACCTATAATTTCTATCTGAAGATAACCACTGTCTACAGGTTGATATATGTCCTTGTAGACATTTTTGATGCATGTATTTATATTCATGCAATTCTAATAAAAATCAAATTATTCTTGGTATATTATTTTATAACCTACTTTTTAAACTTAATTTCATATATATATGTATATATATCTTCATTATTTTTAATAACTAGTAAGTATTCTATGATACGAATATAAAAGAGAATGTGTCATTTTGCTTCTGGTCCTCTAATATTGGACATCCAGAGAGCGCCGGCTCTGTGCCACCTCAAACATTGCTGTGTGGCACCCTGGCAGTTGCCTTTTTATGTACATGTGATTGTGGCTTTAGGCTAAACTCCTAGAAAAAAATTACTGAGTTTAAGGGTTAACATGTTTCTAAGGCATTTATTCCCCCTTACATTTTGCATCAAAGTACACTCATAACCAACAGAAAAATTATCAAGTGTTAGATTCGGCTTTGAAAGTAGAGAGAAATGTGGATTGAACACTAGGCATGGAGACAACTTTGCAGGAGGAAAGCAAGTACGAGGCACTGAGATGGAGTCTAAACAAGTCATTCCTTTATTCAATGAACATTTGTTAACATGACTGGGCCAGGCACTGTGCTCAGCTCTGAGGTATAAAGACAAGATCTTTGAGACACTCATCAGAATGGAATTAGAAGGGACGTGGCTTTGGGTTCAGCCGAGCATCTGTGCTGGGAGAATGGAAAGTAGTGGGGAAGTGCCTGAGTGACGGCCGTCGAAGGCCTGGCTAAGTGGTAGGGAGACGGGCTGGTTCTGACCGCCCTGGAGTGACATCCGTCCAGGGATGAGTGCTTGGGTCACAGATGCCTGGATTGCAATCTGGTTTAGCCACCAAGTCTGGCCACAGGACCCAAATAGGTGATTTGACCTTTAGAGCCTCATTTCTCCAACTGCTGTGAAGATACAATAAGCTAAAGTGTGTTAAGGGCTCAGCAGAAGTAAATGCTCAGTAACAATTAGGCATCATTCTTATGTTGAAAGGTGAAGAGAGGTTCATGCGGGTCTAAGAAGATGTAATGGTCCCCACATCTTTGGTCCAATGGCAGGCTGGATTCTGGCCAATCCATGCTCTCTGAATAGCTTATGGGCTCTGCTCATGGGGACTTCATAAGGGCTGACCTGGGTGGTGCAGCTGGTTCTCTGAAAAGGCATAAGAGCAAGATAGATGATAGATAGATAGATAGATAGATAGATAGATAGATAGATAGATAGATAGATATAAATAGATATAGATAATAGATAGATAATAGATAGCTAGATAGATAGATAGATAGATCTGAGAAAAATTAGGAACACCCCCAACCTAAGTGACCCATGAGGCCGAGAAGGGGTCACTATGTGTCCCAGCGCTCCGCTTGCCTGGTGGTCACATGTCGGACAAGCTCTGTGGAGGCCTCCTCAGAGGCTCTCCTCCAGTCTCCACGCAGCAGGGGCTGCCAGGCATCTGTGAGCCTATGATTTGCCTATTTGGCCAATGACAACCTGTCAATCTCCCCCAGTGTCACTTCCGATAAACAACTCGGAGAGAGTGACACCTGGATACATCAATTCCATCTCACATTCCCTAGATGCCTCCCAGCTCCTGATCACCAGGGTGACTCATGGCCAGACGTGAGTGCTGCTGGCCAAGATGAGGGGAGGAGGGGATCTGAAGTCCCTGTCAGAGGCCTGGGTCCCAGGCTGGCCCTCCACCAACCTTCCTGCGGCTCTTAAAGAGGCACCGAACCTCTTTTTGATGCTATAACTGCAGACATCTCTGTCCACCGGTAAGAAGACACATTAAACAATCAGAGAATGTTAACCAAAAAGGGGAGGGAGGTTTTCAAGATCGTCAGGTTTAACTGTATTTATATTCATCCATTGAACAAATATTTATTGAACGTCCATTATGTGCTAGTGTTGGGGAATATATCAGTGAGCAAACAGACCAAAAAAAAAAAAATCTATACTCCTGGGGCTTACAGTCTAATGGAAAGAGACAGATAGTAAACAAAATAAATAAGTACAATATATAGCATATTAGGTGTGATAAGTGCTAGGGAGCAAAACAAAGCAGAAAGAAAGGAATGGAGAGAATTTGGACTTAACTTTAAGTAGGGTAGTTAGGGATGACCTCATGGAGAACATGATATTTGAAGACGGAGAAGATGATATTTGAGTGAAGCCAGGGAGCAAGCCGCGAGGCTCCCTGGGGAAAGTGGGTTCTGGCAGAGGAAACAGGGGGAGACCCCGAGGCAGGAATGTCCCCGTGTGCGCGGGAAGTGCAGGTTCCGCGTGGCTGGGAGAGGTGCAGGACCCATGAGCAGCTCCTGCAGGAAAGCACTTGGGATTTTCTCCCGAGGGAGCCGCGAGGAGATCGTGAACAGAGTGATGTGGTGTGATTTGGATTTTAACAGGATCGTTCTGGTGCTGTATTGAGAATAATACCAACAATAACAACGTATGCTTACATAGCACTTACGATGTGCCAGGCACCATTTTAAGTTCCTTGTCCATCTAAACTAGTCTTCACAGGAGCCTGACAAAGTCCAGTCTATTACTGCTCCCACTTTCCAGCTGAAAAGCCAGGCAAAGAGGCCTGATAAGGAGCTCGCCTGGTGCACGCAGCTCGCAAGTACAGAGCCAGGTTGTGAGTGGAGGCAGGTGGCTCCCAGTTCGGTCATTTCCCCGGCCTGCATCAGCACGGGGTGATGGTGTTGCGGGGAGAGCGGACCCCATTCTGGCTGTATCTGAAGGTGGAACCAACGGGTATTATTGTCAGATGAGCTGTGGGGTGGAAGCAAAGAGAGGAGTCACACTTTTGTTTTCACGTGAGCAGCTGGACAGATGGAGTTGCTTTTAACTGAGGCAGAGAAACTGGAGGGAGGAGGTCGAGCAGGGGCAGGGGTCATGCTCTGCAGGGTTCCTATCGGACATCGAGATATAGGAGAGATGGACCTGGCAGAAACTGAGAGTCTCAAGGATTTGCTCAGTGTCGTGGAGCTAATTACTGAAAGGGTTAAACCGTTCACGCATGAGGTTTCCCCCATCTTTGCCCTGCTCCGCACATTTCCATTCTCGGGGTGG